TGGGGACACACTGGGGGGACACTGGGGGGACCCTGGGGACTCACCAGCATGACGACGCACCAGTTGAGCACCCCCCGGTAGTTGCTGTAGCCGCTGGCCGAGCTCAGCAGCGACTCCTGCACCTTGTGGCACCTGGGGACAGCCAGGGGACACGTGGGGACACTTGGGGACAGCGAAGGGACAGCAGGGGACACCTTGGGGACACCTTGGGGACACCTTGGGGACAGTGAGAGACAGGGCAGACACCTTGGGGACACCCTGGGGACACCTTGGGGACACCTTGTGGCACCTGGGGACACCTTGGGGAGACCTTGGGGACACCTTGTGGCACCTGGGGTCAGCCAGGGGACACGTGGGGACACTTGGGGACAGCGAAGGGACAGCAGGGGACACCTTGGGGACACCTTGAGGATACCCTGGGGACAATGAGGGACGGCGGGGACACCTTGGGGACAGTGAGAGACAGGGCAGACACCCTGGGGACACCTTGTGGGACACCTGGGGACAGCGGGGACACGTGGGGACACTTGGGGACAGTGAGGGGACAGCAGGGGACACCTTGGGGACACCCTGTGGCACCTGGGGACAGCCAGGGGACACTTGGGGACACTGAGGAGACAGAGGGGGGACAGTTGGGGACACATTTGGGACAGCGAGGGGACACCGAGGGGACGGGGGGGACACCACGGGGACACCCTGGGGACACTGCGGGGACGCTTGGGGACACCTTGGGGACACCTTGGGGATACCCCGGGGACAATGAGGGATGGCGGGGACACCTTGGGGACAGGGGGGACACCTTGGGGACACCCTGGGGCAGTGAGGGGGACACCTTGGGGACGGGGGGACACCCTGGGGACACCCTGGGGACAGCGAGGGGACACCTTGGGGAGATCTTGGGGACACCTGGGGACACCCTGGGGACACCTTGGGGACACCTTGGGGACAGTGAGGGACAGGGGGACACCTTGGGGACACGGGGGACACTGAGGGGACATGCAGGGACACCCTGGGGACAGGGGGGACACCCTGGGGACATGCAGGGGCACCTGGGGACACCTTGGAGACACGTAGGGACACGTGGGGACACCTTGGGGACACCTGGGGGACACCCCAGGGACAGGGGGGACACCTTGGGGACAGTGAAGGGACAACTTGTGGCACCTGGGGATACCTTGGGGACACTTTGGGGACAGGGGGGGACACCCCCAAACCCTCCCAGGGGTGAGGGGACACCCAGAGGGGTCCCCAAGGCTTGGGGACACCCCCGGGGGGTGACAGAGGTGACACAAGTGACAGAAGAGGGGACAGAGGTGACACAGGCAGGGCCAGGGCGGTGGCAGCGCCAGCTCTGGGTCCAGAGTCCCCCCGAAAAGATAAGGGTTATCAGGGATAATTAACAGTAATTAGGGGCAGATTAGGGGGGGCAGGGGTGACACCAGGGTGACCTCTGACCCCTGGGGTGGCCCTGGGGGGGTTTGGGGTGGCCCTGGGCAGGTTTGGGGTGGCCCTGGGCAGGTTTGGGGTGGCCCTGGGGGGGTTTGGGGTGGCCCTGGGCGGGTTTGGGGTGGCCCTGGGCAGGTTTGGGGTGGCCCTGGGGGAGAGTGGGGCCCCAAAAGAGACAGGGGACAGTGGGCTCCCCATGGGGACCCCAAATCAAGGACAGGGGACAGTGGGACCCCCTCGGGGACACGGGGGTGGTGGCACCGAGGGGACACAGGGGTGGCACCGAGGGGACACGGGGGTGGCAGCAGGGACATCGGGATGGGGACATGATGGGGACACCAGGGCAGTGGCACAGGGGGACACAGGGGGACACCAGGGCGGTGACAGGGACACGATGGGGACACCGGGGCCGTGGCAGGGACACAGAGGGGACACGGAGGTGACACCAGGGTGATGGCAGGGACACGGAGGTGACACTGGGGAGGTGGCAGGGACACGATGGGGACACGATGGTGACACTGGGGTGGCAGCAGGGACACGGAGGGGACACCGGGGAGGTGACAGGGACACGATGGTGACACCGGGGAGGTGGCAGGGACATGGGGATGGGGACACGGAGGTGACACCGGGGCGGTGACAGGGACACGGAGGTGACACCGGGGCGGCGGCAGGGACACGATGGTGACACCGGGGTGGTGACAGGGACACGGGGATGGGGACACGATGGTGACACCGGGGCGGTGACAGGGACACGGAGGTGACACCGGGGCGGTGACAGGGACACGGGGATGGGGACACGATGGTGACACCGGGGCGGTGACAGGGACACGATGGTGACACCGGGGCAGTGACAGGGACACGATGGTGACACTGGGGCAGCAGCAGGGACACGGAGGTGACACCGGGGAGGTGGCAGGGACACGGGGATGGGGACACGATGGTGACACCGGGGCAGTGACAGGGACACGATGGTGACACCGGGGAGGTGGCAGGGACACGATGGGGACACCGGGGCGGGCGGGGCCGTCCCGCGGCGCTGGCGGCGGTGTCGCAAGCGGGAGTGGCGGGGCAGGGTTGGGACATCGCCCCGGGGACACGGAGCGGGCACCGGGACAGGGGGCACCGGACACCGGGGGGACACCGGGACAGGGGGCACCGGGGGGACACGGGGACAGGGGGCACCGGGACACCGGGGGGGACACCGGGGGGACACGGGGACAGGGGGCACCGGGACACCGGGAGGTTTTTGGGGGGATCTCTGGGGGGTTTTGGGACAGATTTTTGGATTTTTTTGAGGAATTTTTGGGGACTTGCGGGGCATTTTTTGGGAGTTTTTTGGGGGCAGTTTTTGAAGGTCTTTGGGGCAGATTTTTTGGGGTTTTAGGGGTTTTTTTGGGAGGGTTTTTAGGGAATTTTTTGGGGTTTTTTTTGGGAGTTTCTGGGGTTCTTTGGGGTTTTTTGTGGTTTTTTTGGGGACAGGGGGCACTGGGGGGACACCCAGGGAAAGGGGGGACACGATCATGGGGACCCCGGGGTGGAGGTGGGGGGGACCCAGAGGAACGGGGTGAGGGTGGGCGGTGCTTGGGGGTCCCCAGAGGGGAGCCCAAAACATGGGGAGGGGTCCCGGGGGTCCCAGGGCCAGCTCAGGGTGGGGGAGGGTCCCAAAGGACCCAAAATGAGGGCGGGAGCGGGTCTCTGGGGGTCCCAAACCCTCCTGAGGGGGTCCCAAAATCACCTGAGGGGGTCCCAAACCCACCTGAGGGGGTCCCAAACCCTCCTGGGGGGGTCCCTGCGGGTCCCAGCCCCACCTGAGGGGTTCCCAGAGGGTCCCAAACCCTCTTAAGAGGGTCCCAAACCCACCTGAGGGGATCCCCGGGGGTCCCAGACCCACCTGAGGGGGTCCCAGCCCCATCTGAGGGGATCCCTGGGGGTCCCAGACCCACCTGAGGGGGTCCCAAACTCACCTGAGGGGGTCCCTGGGGATCCCAGCCCCATCTGAGGGGATCCCCGGGGGTCCCAAACCCTCCTGAGGGGGTCTCTGGGGGTCCCAAACCCACCTGAGGGGGTCCCAGCCCCACCTGAGGGGGTCCCAAACCCTCCTGGGGGGGTCCCTGTGGGTCCCAGACCCACCTGAGGGGGTCCCAGCCCCATCTGAGGGGGTCCCTGGGGGTCCCAGCCCCACCTGAGGGGATCCCCGGGGGTCCGAAACCCACCCGAGGGGATCCCAGCCCCACCCGAGGGGGTCCCAAACTCACCTGAGGGGGTCCCAAACCCACCTGGGGGGATCCCTGGGGGTCCCAGCCCCACCTGAGGGGGTCCCCGGGGGTCCCAAACCCACCCGAGGGGATCCCAGCCCCACCTGAGGGGGTCCCAAACCCACCTGAGGGGATCCCTGGGGGTCCCAGACCCACCCGAGGGGGTCCCAAAATCACCTGAGGGGGTCCCAGCCCCACCTGAGGGGATCCCTGGGGGTCCCAAACCCACCTGGGGGGGTCCCAAACCCACCTGAGGGGGTCCCTGCGGGTCCCAGACCCACCTGAGGGGGTCCCAGAGGGTCCCAAACCCTCTTGAGAGGGTCCCAAACCCACCTGAGGGGATCCCCGGGGATCCCAGACCCACCCGAGGGGGTCCCAAACCCACCTGAGGGGGTCCCCGGGGATCCCAGACCCACCCGAGGGGGTCCCAAACCCACCTGAGGGGGTCCCTGGGGGTCCCAAACCCACCCGAGGGGATCCCAGCCCCACCTGAGGGGGTCCCAAAATCACCTGAGGGGGTCCCAAACCCACCTGAGGGGATCCCTGGGGGTCCCAGACCCACCTGGGGGGGTCCCAAACCCACCCGAGGGGGTCCCAGCCCCACCTGAGGCAGCCCCAGCCCCACCCCGCGCCCACCTCCCCCTCAGGGCTCCCCCTCCGGCCTGAGGGGGCGGCTCCGCTTGGCCGGGCCCCGTTACCTGAAGTCTCCGGCGGGCTCCTCGGCGCCGTC